GGTGTGAAGCCTGCTGCCCCCCCCTCCCCCAGCAGCGTGTTGCCCGCATTCTGACTTGTGTAAATCCGTCTTGCGTTAGTATTTTAGATTTTTTTTTAATGAGCCATAATTTTTTTTGTTGTTCTGTATTTGCATGGACAAACTATCTTGGTGTTTTTTTTTTTTTTTTGTTGTTGTTTTTTTTAATGCTAGCTAGGTCATGGAAACATCTAGAAATTAAGTAAGTTTTGAGTGTTTGATCTAAGATGAGTGGTCTCAGTGACACTAGTTTTAAGAGTAATTTTCATATATAGTTTTTGGGTCTCCAGATTTTCATGTCGACCCTAACACAAGGATCTCATGCTATAGTTGCTTCAGAATTATTCCTTTCAGAGGTGTTTACTTCAGTGATGTAGGCGAGGGAAACCCAGCCTATGGATTTGAAACAAGAAAATGCATCACACTTGATTGCAGAGTTCTCAGTGTTCATAGTTAGGAAGAACACAGGGACTGCTTCTGTGAGTCTTGCTGGATAAGAAACTTTTAAGTTGTATTTTCAGACTTGATATGTCTGTTCGTGAGAGGTCAAAGTACAGGTGCAAGTATTCTTTAAAAAACAAGGATGTACCTAGCAAACTGAAGGCTGAAAAATCTGCTTAAAGGTCTCATGTTTATGCTACTTCAAGGTCTGTATGGCCTAATCATTACAAGGTTTTTTTTTTTTTTCATGTTGCTTATTTTGGGAAATAAGCTTTAAATAGGAAGCACTTTCTCTACTTTTTTCTTAATAGTTTCTTTCAGTTGGGGGGCTAATTAACTGTTGTTGACTTCTCAACAGTATGCATTCACACTTTCTTTTTTTTTATCCTGAGGAAAAAAAAGTTTCTTCTGATTAGAAATGTAGTATTCTAAATATATTGACTAGTGAGTGTTCTAGAGGAGACTTGTCTCCATGTAAATAATTTCTTAAAATGGGAATTTTTTTTAGTTTTTCTAAAAGCTTAGCGGCTTTTTAGAAGCTCATTAATGCAATATGTAATCTAAAAACTGGTAAGGGGTAACCTCTTTAAAACTTGAAAGATACTTTAATACTATGCAAATTGCACAGTGATCTTGTGACTTTTTTTTTGCCTTGTACAGTTTTTTTTAATTTTAATACGTGTTTCTTTTAGGAAGAAAATGAAAATCTTTTCTGAGTCTCATAAGACTGTTTTCGTTGTGGATCACTGCCCATATATGGCAGAATCCTGCAGACAACATGTTGAGTTTGATATGTTAGTGAAGAACCGGACCCAAGGAATTATACCCATAGCACCCATATCAAAGTCCCTGTGGACCTGTTCAGTGGAATCATCCATGGAGTACTGCAGAATAATGTATGATATTTTCCCTTTCAAGAAACTGGTGAGTTTGTTAATCAGAGTGCTGCTAAAGGGGTAATACAGCAGGAGTGGGTAACTTCTGTGTTTTTATTGTCTTATTTTTAGTTTAGCTTGTCATTGCACTTATTTCCAGAGTATCAGAAGAAGGACATGTAATTCATGTTTGCTTGACTTTGGGGAGTTAGCCATAATGGCTGTTATCTGTATGATTGGCTCTTACCTTATGTGTGCTTTTTCTATCCTTTCAGGTGAATTTCATTGTGAGTGATTCTGGGGCTCATGTCTTGAATTCTTGGACTCAAGAAGATCAGAACTTGCAGGAGGTATGCTTTGTAATTGTTCCTCTGTTTTGTAAGCCCAAGTGAATTGCGACATAAATTGTTACTTTGTTCAATATGAAATAACCATGGTTAATTAAAATGTTGGTGAATCTGCTCTGAAATTATTGCCTAGCAGAATTTTAAGAAGCAGCCTGTGAGGCTGGACTATTCTGTAGGCAGCTTTACGTAATGTAAAGAGAAGCCAGTAGCTTTGAGGATGGAGTTATACATGAAAATAAATTCTACAAAGAAAATTAGGTATTTCTCTGTAATTTGTTGATACTTCTTGAATTCTAATTTTTTTTATTCGCAAGACAGGCAAATAAACAGGGTAAAAATAATTAATTGCAATATTCGCTTCACTCTAATCTCACACTGAATGGGTTTGTCCTTTGAAAAAACTTACTTTGAGGAGGAACTGAATTTCCAAATGGTCAAAAAATAAAAGCAGATGGCAACAGATTATTATGTTAGTATTTCTTTCAGGTATTTGGCTGTAACTTGTCATTATAGCCAGGTATTTTTCTCTAATAAATGTCAAGGCTTAATAACAGTTAATAAACGAATTGCAAAGGATAATTTGTAGTCAAATCATAGAATCATAGGGGTTGGAAGGGACCTCGACAGATCATCTAGTCCAACCCCCCTGCCAGAGCAGGGTCACCTAGAGTACATCACACAGGAAGGCATCCAGGCGGGTTTTGAATGTCTCCAGTGAAGGAGACTCCACAACCTCTCTGGGCAGCCTGTTCCAGTGCTCCGTCACCCTCACAGTAAAAAAATTTTTCCTGATATTCACCTTGAACCTCCTATGCTCCAATTTGCACCCATTACCCCCTGTCCTATCACAGGTCAACACTGAAAAAAGCTTAATTCCATCTTCAAATGTTTTCCAGAAGGCTAGCAACTTATAATTGTCTTTAATTACTCTGTTTTTCTCCCAACAATATTAATTTGCCTGTGAAGTAAGTTATGATAATGACTTTTCTCTTAACTGATCGTTTTAACAAATGGTTGGAAAGTAATTTTGGGTAATAATTTCTGTCTTTCTCTTCAACTAGTTGATGGCAGCATTAGCAGCTGTTGGGCCGCCTAATCCTCGGGCAGATCCCGAGTGCTGCAGCATACTTCATGGTCTGGTGGCAGCAGTTGAAGCCCTCTGCAAAATAACAGAATACCAGCATGAGGCTAGAACCATGCTCATGGAGAATGCAGAACGTGTTGGAAACAGAGGAAGAATAATCTGTATTACTAATGCAAAAAGGTGCGCATGTTAATATGCGTCGGCCATTAAAAACCCCAAAGTTATTTAATACTTTTTGAGAAGTCTTTAATTGTCTTGAATTAGTGCCATAAGTAACTAGCTTTTTTGTGTTCTTTGTTGGATCATTTCTTGCCTTGTTAAAGGTGTCATTAATGGAGGTCTGTTACAGTAACAAACCAAAAATTACCTACTTGAAATAGAACTGTTTAGTGGCACATTCCTTTGAACAGGAGGATTGATTATTCTGCATAAAAACAATATAAAATTTCTTTCTAGTGACAGTCACGTTCGGATGCTTGAGGATTGTGTTCAGGAAACCATTCATGAGCATAACAAGCTTGCAGCTAATTCCGATCAGTGAGTATACATTTTACAAGTGTAGTTTCTCTTACTCCACACATGCCTGTTATGCTCTCTATGAATATGGATTTATTTTTGCCATTTAAAACTTATTCTAGTAGTCTGTTGGAATGAATGCCTGTGTGAAATAGAAAGTGCTAAATCATTATGTTGTTGGCGTAGGGCTGGTGTGTAATCATTAGCTTTTCACTGTCATGGTTTATCTTCATGGAGGACAGTATTTCTTTACATTGTTACCTTCTACATCTTGCTCCAAAATAAGACTCGTAACTGTGCCTTATTATATACTGTCCAGTTGTAATTCGTAATGCACCTGATGCATTTTTTCTTGGTAACACTGTAGTAATTTTACACTTACCTTTCTTTGACTGATACAGCTAACTACTTTGAAACTAGTTTTTAAGTTCTAAATTATTGTGTTGCCTGACACTTTGAGATGAAGGAATATCTTAAAATACAGGTTGCATCTCTTCTGAGAAGAAATTTTTCTACTGTAGGCTTTGTCTAACTAAACAGTGAACTGTTTGGCTCAGGGACTGTGTATTGCCTTTTAAAGCTTATAGTAGGTTGAGGTTCTATTCTTGGTTGCTCTTTAGGCATGTAAATAGCAGGAGGAGGACTGTCCTGTATTTACCTGCTGCAATTGCAGTTTGCTCTGTATAGAGGATACTGCCCCAGGGAATCGGGTTCTAAGTCCACTGTAAAGACAGAAAAATGCTCTCATTCCTGTAGGTAGAGATGTAGAACAGTGTCTTGATATCTCCAAATGTCCAGCCTCATTAGGAGATGAAGAGGCTATGTGGGGAGTTGTTTTCATGTTCACAGGAATACCCTTGTTCAATACCTGCACACACGCTTGGGAGACGCAGATCTTCAGTAATGTCAGTTTACACTTGAGTGAAATTGAACAGATGACACCAATTAGTTCTAGTCTATCAATATGTCCAAAAAGAAGCAGTACTACAGCATCTGAAAAGCTATGTTACTCTTGTTCTTTAATCTTTTATTCTAGAATTAAAGTTTTGTAATTTTAAGTATGTACTTTTGGAGATGATGAATGTAACTTAGTGTCTCCAGAATGTTTTCAGAAACAGTATATTGTAATGCATCTTTATGATTATGTGTTTGCAAATGGGATGAATCTTAAGAAAATTATTTTCTAGGAGATATTCTGCCACACTGTAGGCTAAGTAGAATGTTTGTATTTTTAAGTTTAATGCAGATTCAGAAATGCGAATTGGTCTTAATCCACACTTATCCAGTTGGTGAAGAAAGCCTTGTTTCAGATCGTCCTAAAAAAGAGGTAAGGAGCTTAAAAGGACAAAATTTGTCCAAGGATTAGGGAACTGATTAGGACTCAAAACAGACAGTGCAAATTAAGTATTCAGCAATAATGTTTTGTGCCTCTGGTCGCTGATTAGGTGGAAGAAATAGTACAGGTGATAATGCTTTGAAAAGTTGACAGCCTGTGTATCGTCATCTAAAGTGTATGCTTCGTTTTCTGTATAGTTTTTGTGCATGCATAGAACCCTTTTTTCATTTCATTAAATTTCTTGCATTAATTCATGATTCATTTTTTAAGTAAGCCCATTAAATGACATATAATGATAGTCTTGGTTTTTTTTTGTTTTGTTTTGTTTTGTTTTGTTTGTTTGTTGAAAAAATGCACAGTTAGGAACCTAGTGGGATACCAGCAACACCTTGGTATGTTGACTAGGTTAGCTGAGTAACTTTCAGGCTGTTCAAGCATAAGCTTCTAGCTAGCAGAAGCCTTGTTTCCCCAGATATTTGTTACTGTTGATGTGGATATTGTTCAGCATGGCATGTTATAAGCTACCCGGGCTAATGTGTTAGCATTTGCAACGTTTTGGCTGAGTGGTTTTTACATGACACCAAAATAAGCTTTTGTGTTCAAGTTCTGTTGCTTCAGCATTAGTGAACAGAATGCCTTTTTTGATGAAAAAGATTGGAAAGCATACCTGCTACCAAGTTAAAGGGTAATATGTTGTAGAAACTTAGAATATGCTTGAAGTTTATCAAATACCTGAAAGTACCCTACAGGTACTTCTAAAAATTATTTTACAAAAATGTGAAAGGATACGTATAAAAAATTATTCCATATATTCACATCTTAGTTGTGGTGTAACAAGAGCTTTTGTGCTCTGAGGACTTGTATGCTTAGTGATGGTTGTTTGAGACCAAGTCCATAGAAAATATTTTGGATCATGTTCTGCTCTTCAGCAGTCTCCTCTGCTCAGTATTTTAATGTCCTGTCTGTAAGAATGAGAAAAGACAAAAGAAGAAAAGGTCTTAACATGAAAGGCATCTAGTTCTGCATATTCTATAAACGAAAGGACTAAAATAGCTACCTTCGCAAGATTCTTTTCTACAAAACTCTTTTGTAGTTGTGTTAAAAAAAGTGCACAAAAGGGAGCAAACTGACTACTAATTTCCTATGTAGGACAGCGATCTTTATTGCTGTTGTTTATTTGGTGTTGGGTTTTGTGTTGTGGATGTTCTGTTGGTTTTAGGCTTTGGGGAAAAAAAACAAAACAAACAAACAAAAAGAAAACAAACAAACAAACCAACACCTTGTTTTTAGTCCTGGCTGGCTAGGGAAAAATCAGGTGCATTTTATGGATTGTGTTTCATGTGTGTATATGTGATGCGCGTACAGGTAGGTGTGTAAAAAGTACTTTGTTCTTGTTATTCAGTAGGTAAAAGAGTGAAAACCTAGGTCCGGAGCTGCTATTGATAATTTCTTTCCTGTGTTGTGATCCTCATTCTTCCCATTAACAATTAATGACTCAAGTTTTTTAGCATATTCGTAATTTTTTGACAGCTTGTAGAAACTGCAGCTATAACAATTGGCATAACCTGCAAAAGTCTGAAGGAGAAACTTTTACTTCTTCCTCCTTAGTCTTCCGCAGTGTGGGTTTTTGGGGTCATAGTTTTTCCTTGTAGTCTAATTTAGCAGTATAAATGTGCTTAATTTGGAGCTTCAAATTAATAACACTGTTACATGATATTAGAGCCTAATTCATTGATACTATACACTCTGTATCAATTTATTTTAGCTTTCACCGGTTTTAACCAGTGAAGTGCACAGTGTCCGTGCGGGGCGGCATCTGGCTACAAAACTGAATGTTCTAGTACAACAGCACTTTGATCTGGCTTCAACCACCATAACTAACATTCCTATGAAGGTAACACTGTGTCTGTAGCTTTGTATTAACTAGCTGCATCACTTCTAAATTTGTTTGAAAACTTTTAATGTTTATTTTAATTGAACTTTTACATTGGTTTTCTCTCCATATCATATTTTCTGGTTTGTTTTTTTTTTTTTTTTTAGCCCACATTCAATGTCTGTGACCAGGTTAGTAAAAATAAAGAGGAGGAAAAAAAAAAAAGTAAAGAAGGATCACAGAACAAAATCTTGTATTGCTGAATCTCAATTTTTGATGTAGCAATACAAGTGCTATTTCACTTCTGTTTGTATTATTTGATATAGTCTTCCTATTTCAGATTACTTTGTCTGTGATTCTTTTATCTTTTCCTAGTTGTGTTTAGATATTCTTGATCCTTGTGCATTATAGTGACATAGTGAGTCTTTTTCCTGTGTTTCATTATCATGCCCACCCAACATAAAGGTGTTTGTAACAAATAGCTGATTTTTGACTAAAGTTTTTTTGAATAGGTTTTCCAGATTGACGATTAAGCCAGAAATAGGGGGACAGGAGATATATCTAATTAAAGACGTGAAACAAAACATTATGGTAAAAATTAATTGTCCCTATTTTCAATATTTTTTTTATTGGTACTGGGAGAGAAATCAGTGCAACTAAGAATTTAAGTCTTAAGTTTACAGTAATTTTCTAATTGGGCAGCAAGAGACAATTGAAACAGGTTATCAGTATTCGAACAAAAAGGGCATGGGCAGATAAACTTTCCTTGTTTAAAAAATTCATCAAGTTATAATAATGTCAATCATTATTTGCATCTTTGAAAATAAGCAATATTGTATGGATTTTATAAGTTTAAACATGAAATTAACAATTTTCACAGATTTAAAGGAACTTTGACATGGGTCATGGCAGAAAAGTGACTTAAGTTTGCAAATACCTTGTCTGTAACTTCCTGACCTGTGTGCTGCTGGTATGCCTCTCCCTACTGCCTTTGTCCTTATAGTAATAGACTATGGTTGAGTTCTCTGGTTTTTAATTTTTTTCAAAAATAAATTACCAAGATTACTGTTCTTTTTCTGCAAGTCCTCTGCTGCTGTTTAAAGATGCGGCGTCTTCTTTATATCCATTTTTTTAATTATAAACTTGCAGCTACAAGTACACTTGTTATATCTTAAGTGCAAGGAAATGCTAATAAGTTCTAAGTGTGTTTTGATTTGAATTCGCGACTTACCATGAAAATTACTGCTATAGTGTGCAGTGACAGTTTGTTGCTGCTTGGTAAGTTGTAACTGCTGGTGGTATTCAGTATGTCTCAAGCCTTCTTAACTTTACTAACTGAAACAAAAGTAGTTAAGTCTATTTTTTACTGATATTTTACGCCATGCATCCTGTCATGACATATGTATAAAGATGAAACCCTAGGGTTTAAAAGGGGAAAAGCAGATGGCTGCATCTTCAAACAGGTCAGAGAGCAAACAGTTTCCACAACATTGCAATCCTGTTGTTGTCTGATGGCCTTTGGACACTGTTTTCTTCTGGAGTGAAAGGTAAATGTAGTTCACCATGTAATTAATTTGTGAAAACAGCGGCATCTATCTAAAATAATTATATTTATTCTTTCTACCTTTTAAAGGAAGAACAACATGCTAACACATCAGCAAACTACGATGTGGAGCTTCTTCATCACAAAGAGGCACACGTTGACTTCTTAAAGAGTGGTAAGTAGAAATAGTCCACTAAAAGTGGCTTTTGATCAGCCTGATAGGAAGTATTCACAAAGAAAGATTGTGAGCTTCAAATTGCTGCAGATTTCAGGCATGATTACCAGTTAATCCTTACAACCAAGAAATTGGTTGTAATGTTGACATTGGAGTTTTACTCATTTCTGGCATATTTTAATACAGTAATAGGGTGTCCTGGTTCAGTGTAAAAAGGGGTTCAGGGCAGGACCCACATGGAACAGAACTATGTACTCCCCTCCCCCCCTGCCCCAGAGAGAGAGAGACACTTTTGGGAAAAAAAAAAAAGATTGGGAGTTAAATGAAAAAATAAAGTATATTGTTTAACAAGGAACAGAAAACAAAAAAGGGAGGTAAGAAAAAAAAATATACAAAGATTAGGGGAAATACAAAAATAAACAAAATATATAAAACTCTCAGAAATAGTTCCGAGGTCCCACGG